TAAAAAGTTGGAGACGAAGTATCAGGCTTGAAAACTCAGTTAAATATATTTTAATATTTAAAATATTAGAACTTTTGTAAAATTAATTTTATTAATTATGTTATGCTTGTTCTTTGATACTACAATACACTACTCTTTTCTGCCTAAATTTTCTTAAATTAAGTGTGTAAGCACATGTTTGGAAGGAAGAAATTTTGGAGAAAATATGAATCCAACCCACAACTTAGTAGGACCTCAGTCTTTAAATTTTCTACTTATTTGAGATTGATTGAACACAACTCTTAAGGGTGAGGCCTTCCCTAGCAAAAGGATTCAGGGAAGCCAAGTAAAAAGAACTTAGGCTTAATTTAAGAAAGTAAATTTTTTTACTTCAGAGCAGTACACAATACAATTAGTTATAATAGAAAAGTAATCAATTAGATCACCACTTTTCAAAAAAAGTTATTTTATAAGATTTTTTTGTAAGAAAAGCAATATAATTAATTATGAAAAAATAATTAACTATATTTGTATAATCATATACTTCTTTTTTGTAATCAATTATATTTACTTTTTGTAGCAAAACATGATACAAGAAAATTATCCCAAAATCATTTCCATATTTATTATAACCAACTATATTGTACTTCAATTTACATGCTAGAGAATTTACTTTCCAAAAGCCAAGTCTAAGTACTTGTTAATCTGAATTTCTTTTTTTTTTTTTTCCAAAAAAGGCCTTGAAAAAACAGGCCCTAAATGTTTATTTTCATTTCTCAAAGTAACAAGATTTCTTTTCTTTATTTATTTTTTTGTTTTTCTTGGGAAAACAGAAGTGATTGTTCAATAGACAGGAGATCTCAATTTGCGAACAATGTGAAATGTGTTTTCTGTGTTACGTTGGTGTCAAATGTGAAATTGTGAAGTTGCATGACAAGGCCATGGTCCAAGGTGTCCACCAATGTTGCTGTGATTGTGGCAAAAGTGATGGTGAGAAGTCATGAATATTTGCCGATATTCCATGAAAAACGGATTTTGCAGACTCAACTTGTCAGTTTCAAAAATATATATATGTTTTTTTTTGTTAAGTCAATTTCAAAATGTTTTACATGCG